TGTGTAGAAAAAAACAAACATGTATTCTATTCTAATACATTATAAATTTGACAGATTATGAATGTAGATTTGATGGTATATTTCTTATGGATAAATCTCTGGTAGTTCAAGAGAAGGCTTTATAAACTACAAGGAATTCAAAGTTCTAAAGATTTTATAAGCTCTATACTTAGGAACTATGTACATTGCTATTTGTCATTTCCTGGCACTTTAAATACAACCCCTTTATTAACATTTTGATCTGAAATTTCAAATCTTTTGTAGTTTCATAGGGAGCAGTATGCTTTGACTTTATATGACTTGATTTAATAAAATTCAATGTGTATAATACTGATCTCTTTTTTAGAACTGTTTTATATTGGATAATGGCAAATGTTGATACTACCAGGATTGTATACATCTTTCAAGATGGCAATAGCCACAGGAAGTGTTGATAGTCAGAGTTTGAGATACTTAAAATTTCTTTTTGGCCTACTCCCTTTCCTAATGAAGATGGTATTTGTGAGATCATAATTGGCAAGATTGCCAGCTTACCAGATACAGTTGATTTTACAAATACTGGCTAAAATGGTGTAATTAACTTATATTGTTTAGAAATGTGTCCACTGAACCTTAAATACAGTTTCTTCTCTTTCTTCTTGGCTCTTTATCCAGAGATCCTTTTATAGGTTTCTTGTGTTTAATTTGAAGACTCAGTTTTTCCCTTTCCTCCTGAAAGTGTTCTGTTGTAAGTTCTGTCATCTTCCTCCATTGTTTCTGGTCATGTCTAACACCTCTTTTTCAATATAAGGAGCTTTTTATTCTGTCTTTTTTGCCTCTTAACATCTTCCTGTTCACTAATTCTTTTAGCTGTACCTATTATTTCAGTAAGAATTCTTTTTTTTTTTTTTTTAACTTTTTTTTTTTTTTTAGATTTTTACATTCTTAGCAGTTTATCATTCTTGCTTGTTCATGGTTTATTGGTATTGCCTTGAAATTCCTCTCCCACTTCCCTCGGTGTGTGAATTCTTCCTTGTTTTTAAGAGCAAGTCAGACTCTGAAGATTGTTTTTCACATGGCCGAACAAATTTCCTGTGTGTGGGTTGTATACCATTCCTCTAAATGTATCTCTTGTGGAAGTTCTGGAGATGTATGCAACACTATGAGCAATTTCACATTTTAGTTTTCCTAGCTTCCCACTGAGTACAGGAGCCTGTTTCAAGCTCCTTCCCTCTCAAATTTCAGATCTAATCCTTCAGTTTTCAACATCCTTGATGATTGAAAATTCTAACCCTAAAATCTTGTATTAAGTTCTTTATTCTACTGGGTATCTCTGAACTCTGCCAGTGTTTCTGGGATGTAGAAGTTTATATTTAGTTATTTGAAATCTGCTTCTGTTAATAAGGGTGGAAAATGAACAGTTGTGTGTTGCATAGCAGTGTTGTAGTCAGCAAGGATGCATATGTAGTGGAGGTCCCAGATTAAAAGGGAGGGCTTGGAATCTAGAAGGGAGTACAGTACTTTCCTAGCATGAATGAGGCCTTGGGTTCCACCCCCACCACTCGCGGAAAAAGAAGTTAATGGAGTTGAAAAGTTGCTGCTCTTTCCCATTCTGCAAGATGGCGGGTGAAAAAACAGAAGCCAGACACTAAAGAAAAGAAACGCAAAGCCAGGAAGACTGCTACCAGTGGCACTGGTAAAAAGGGTAAGGTGAAGGCAAAAATGTCCAAGAAGGGGCAGCCCCACTGCAGCCAAAATCCTGTCCTATTTAGAGGAATTGATAGATACTCCTGATCTGCTATGTATTCCAGAAAGGCATTGTACAAAAGTACACAGCTGCTAAATTAAAGGTTGAGAAGAAAAAGGAGAAAGTTCTTGCTACTATCACAAAACCAATTAGTGGTGACAAGAATGGTGGTTACGGGGAGGTTAAGCTTCAAAGAATGCTTAGATACTACCCTACTAAAGATGTGCCCCGAAAGCTGTTGAGCCATGGCAAGAAACCCTTCAGTCACCATGTGAGGAAACTTTGGGCTAGCATCACTCCTGGCACCATCTTGATCGTCTTCACAGGTTTTTACAGAGGCAAGACAGTGGTCTTCCTGAAGCAGTTGGCCAGTGTCTTGCTACTTGTGACTAGATCTCTTAACTTGTGTTCCTCTACAAAATAATTTATCATTGCCACCTCCACAAAAATCGATATCAGCAAAATGAAAATCCTGAAATACCTCACTGATGCTTATTTCAAGAAGCAGCAGCAGCTTGTGGAAATGCAAAACACCAGGAGGGCGAGATCTTTGACGTTGAAGAAGAGATACCAGATTTCCAAGCAGCACAAGGTGGATCAGAAAGCAGTGGACTCACAAATTCTAGCAAAGATCGGCTGTTCCTCAGCTCCAGGGCTACCTGTGTTCCTTTTTTTGCTCTGACAAATGGAATTTATCCTCATAAATTAGTGTTCAAATTTCTTACTAAAAACCTAATTAAGTAACTGCTACATTAAAAAAGTTCCTGTTACCTATTGTCATTAAGACCATTGTAACATTATAGTGCAACACGTTACTCATGTGTTCGTGATGATGCTGATATAAGCAGACTTATCCACTGTTGTATAAAACTATAGCATGCACAATTATGTACAGCACAATAAATACCTATTACTGGTTTATGTATTGAATGGACTCTAGTTAACTGTTATTTTAGAGTGCATGCTTGTAAAACACTGAAGAGTATTCTATTAGCAACCTCCTAACAGCTTGCACTTCCTTCATCTTTTGATTGCATCCAGAACCTGTGCACAGTGATTGAACCACACCATCTAACTTGTGTGAATACAGTCACACAGTGATGGGATTGACTGATGATACATTTTGCAGAGTGTATACCTATCATTAAGTGACTGTTCACTGTATATTGGACCACTATAGAAATTACTTCTAAAAACAAGCACTGGTATTAGAAATCCAGTCAGAACCAAAACAGCTTTATTTTCTTTTCTTTTTCACCTAGATTTTATAGTTTCTATTTCTGTGCTATTGTCTCATTATAAGCTGTTTCTGCAGCTTGGCTTTCTCTTTTCTCCTTGCTTATAGCTGCCTCAGCATGGGTCTGCATCAGTCAACACGCTGAATAAAGACCTTTTAATAAGAGGGTCTGGTTGTTCTAGAATGGATTCATTATCTGTCATAGATAGAATTGCTATGTGTGAAGTTAAAGACCTTGGTTTTATGGTGAAAGGGCTGCTACATCTAGACAGAGGTAGTAATGTTCACATAGAAAAATTTCAGGACTGCAGGGCTATGCATTTCTCATACAGAAGCTCAAACAAAACAGCTTTAAGCACTTTGTGGGTTCCTGCAAGTGAAAATGCTGTGTAATTCTCTTGCAGAATGTGGTTAGGTTATAACTATACAAGTTAATCTGCCTCAGCTATAAACATTGTTTTGCTCCTGTTCTATATGATCAAGAGAATTTTTTAAAAAAAATTTAATGATTTATTTATTTATTTGGTACCGGATCTTGCTACACAGCTTGGACTCAAAGTGATCCTCCTGTCTCAGCCTCCCCAGTGCTGAGATTGCAAGGGTGTGCTACCACCGCCAGTCTCAGTGGCTGTCAGGGCACACCCGGGATATTGGGGCCTACATGGCATGTGGTACCAGGGATTTAACCTGGGTCCTTGCATTTTTCAGGCAGGTGCTTGTAACACTGAGCTATCTTCCCCAGCCTGAGAATTTTGCTTATTGATTTTTCAGTTTACTATTTCTGACATCCTGTACGCTAGGGTTGTAGTAATGGTCCTCTTACTACTTTGTAAAACTTTGGCCCCAGACAGGTATCTTTCTATCTGAAGGTCTGCCCTGTTCTCTTAAAATATTAAAGAGGCTCCTCCACTTCATAGGCTTAAAGTTTCCATGAGTTGTTTTTTTTTTTTTTTCTCTTTACCAGTGGGATATCTTTATTCTGTTATCTTTTGCATTGTATAATAGTTGTATAATGTTAGTCAATGGGGAGAACTATATGCATAGATCATTCTTTTCTCTGGCTGTTTCTTTGTATTATATGATCAGGGTTCAAGAATGTTCTTAAGTCCAGGACAGTGCTCTTTGCTAGGCATCTGGGAACCCATAGATTAGGGGAGGGCAGCTAGTTGTTCACTGGATTTGCTTATTTAGTTCTGATGAAATCCATTTCCCCTTCATTATGGTTTGTCATATTTTATAAATAAATGTATTTCTTAGAGAATGTAAAAAGGATACTTTTCATGTATGTATTTTGGCTCTCTGACTCGTTTGTCTGTCTGCATTGTTGTAGGGACAAGCTGTGGGGGGCCTGTGTCTCCATTCTGGGTCTCCTGCCTCGAGTCCTTAGGCTGATGCTGCAGAGCCTACGGGTGAACAGAGTTGGACCTGAGGAGCTGCCTGTTGTTGGCCAACTGCTTCGCCTGCTGCTTCAGCATGCTCCCCTAAGGACTCACATGTTGACTAATGCCATCTTGGTACAGCAGATCATCAAGAATATCACTGTAAGAAGCAAGTTGTCAAGCATTTGTATTGTTACTGTGGGAGTAGGTTCATGGGATGGGTGGGGGACTGCTTTGGGGAGAGTGGGGCTCCTGTGACTACTGAAATTAAGCCCAGTGTGGTCATTTCTTAAAGCTTCCCCTACTGTCTAGGTTTTGCCTCTGTGACTTAACCAAAGGGATGCTTCATGATTCTAAAGCAGGTTTTTTTTTAAGCCTTAAAATTCTCAAACTGAACAAAGGTGGCACTTTGGTTGGAAAAGTACAGGCATCACAGTTGTTCCTACTGGTACTGTAGTTAGACTTTATTACTTGTGATAGCCTGGCAAGTTCTTTTTATCTAATCAAACTTGTTTTCCTATCTATACCAATGGAAATCATTCCTTTTTTTTGCATTATTTTTAGGTTTGGCAACCATTAAATGGGATTGTCCGAGTAAGGTGTTTAATGCATGTGATACTTACTGAGTGCACCCATTCACCTATTAGGTGTCAACTCCAAGCTAACTTCAAATCATTAATTCATTAGGTAGTAAGATAAAATCAGAAGAATACAATTGGACAGCCTCAGGCTTTGCCTACTAGTTGGCTTGCTGCCTTTGGCTGCTCTGTCTTTTGTGGGGCAGCTTTGTTGGATTCCTGGTGTTTTGGGTTTTAAAGGGTAAAGAAATGTTTTCTGTAACTGCTCATGGGTGTTTTTCTTTTTTCTTTTTCTTTTTCTTTTTTTTTGAGATAGAATCTTGGTATGCAGTTTAGATTGGAATCAAACTCATGGCGATTCTCCCTCTAGGCTTCCTGATGGGGGTTTTCATTGAGCTATGTAGTTGTACTTTGGAATAATGGAGCTTTCACATACAAATAACATGGGTGTTTATTGTGAATTTTTGAGGCATCTTTGTAGAACTGGAAGCAGTACTGGAATAATTCAGAAATAGTAGAAG